TATATATATATATATATATATATATATATATATATATATATATCAAAGGTTAACAATACTGTGCTCAAATAAACATAATGTTATAAATCGTATTAAAAACAGTTAATCAGTGATAGTTCATAGGAAATAATATTAAAATCAAGTTGCTACTTAGCACACATCATGTTTCTATATATTTTAGCACCGCATTATTATTATTATTATTGATTTATACATTATTTTTGTTGCCAGTGCTAAGCAGCAAAAACTTGATTTGAATATACTATGTAGGCCTATACAACGTGTTACCCCCAAATAATGATCTCGTCATATTATCTTCTTAACAAATTTTGAAGCAAATCTACTGCGATCCTACGTGTTGTATTGTATATATACTATTTTGCTTAAGCTATATATGCCTATATTAAATTGAAACATAACAGAAGAGGAATCTGACGAAGAATGAAAAAAGAAGGCTCAGATTGAACGAACTAATTTTAATGAAAATATTCATATATAACTCAGTGTCAGAGCGGTAATCAGACATAGTATACGGGGAGAAGATTCTTATGATATATACGGGCCGAGCCGCGGTAGGCCTACTTTTCATTTTGAAATCGCTACCTTATTTTGATGCAATACCTCATCGATATTTAGGCCTACCATTAGTATAAATATAGATAATATTCTGTTAAAATGTAAGTTGGTATAATATTTCGCAATTTACAGCGCTTTATGAAAACTTTTATTTTTAACGTATAGGTCTATACAATATCTAACAGCATAGTTTTGCTATTCATACTAAGCTTTTTCTATCTTGACAACGCCTTGTGAATTTACCCTCATCTTATTTGAACAAATAATCTATTATAATAATATACGGGTAGAGTGTTATTGTTTAGCTCTAAATCACTATCTCGATTTGCTTCAAGAATAACGTTCCACCATAACCTATACCAGCAAAATTAACCAATATTAACTTACAGACGACGTAAAAGTTTACTCTCCACTGAAAAAATATTAGATGGAATTAGCAACTCACTTGGACAATATGGCAACGGACTTAAAGATCTCGTTTTTACAGGCTGTTTTATATATAGGTAAGGAATTGTTGCAATTCATATACAAGACCTACAGTTAGTTGTATTTTTTCTATCGTCTCTTAAGCCTAAACCTCTTCTTTAACAAAATATTTAGTTTTAATATTAGCCATATATAAAAAATACTATTAAAGTAGCAATTTTTAAAATAGTGATACGTCTGACAAAAAATAATGGAGCTGTTGCTTTTGATACGAATTTGTTATATTTTACTCTTCAAGTTTTAATGTTCTTTACATATTATGCTAAAAATAGTAATAAAGAATTTCTCGGTAGGATTGCATCTATTTTGATATAGGCCTGTCAATTTGACGTCTCTTACTACCTTTACTTCTAAAGATTATAATTTCTTTTTTTACATCCAATGAGAACTGAGTAATGAAGGAGGTATAAGGTTTAACACTGGTTTATTCTTACGTTGCATTTACTTAGTATAAATAGGCCTGTTTAATCCTCTATTTCCAAGTTCTCTGAATGTTGTTCAAAAGCATAAGCCATGTCTCAATTATTTTTATAATATAAAAATAGTCTTCTTAAGCTACAAGAGGGGGTCATAAAAGCCATTACATTTCTACTGACATTGAGGTGTATATAGACAGCAAGCAAATAGTTTAATCTAGTTACACAAGTACTAATAAAATCGAAAGCATACTATAATGTATTTTGATCAAAATCGTGGTAGAATTTACTGTATTAACATTCATAGTTTAAAACATTATCAGAAACAGAGTTTTGTGGAAAATACAATTAAATATTTTCCAAAAACAGACATGGTGCTATATTAGAGGCTAAATTTGTTTATGCTTTTTATGTCACAACTAATACTGATACCTTTTATTTGTTTTTATAAATGATAAAGTCAGTCCAAAACGAATGTACAGCCTCCACATATTTCGCGTCAGTGTTAATATAAATGTATTCATTCATACAGCCTCAAGAACTGGATTGGAATATATTATGGCCTACCGATTTATAAGAATTATGACAATACAAACAAATAAGATTTCAAACTATGTTAAAAAATATGGTGCATCACGCAATTGATTTATGAAATATGATAAAGTCTAGGCCTATTTGGGAAAAAACTCCAATGGAATTAATAAGTACGGTAATTTGAGTGTTTAGGAAATTTTGTGAGGTAAAGAGTGGACCTATCTTCAAAGTAGAGAGAATACGAATACGAAAAAATAAATGAACTCAATATCTTCCTTTTTTTATATCCAATTCTATATCATAGGTTTTCAGGTATCATAATTTTTTACAAATATTTTTATGTTCAAATACACTGTCTCATATTCTATTTGATCTTTATTTTTCACGGGCAGAACTATCATTAGACCTCTCTAAGCGCCATAACCGGTAGTAAATAGCAACTGAAATTTACCGTTGGTAAAACTGAAACATTTTACATTCTCAATATTAAAATTTCAGGTTTATTTTCATTGCTTGCTTGTGGTGTAACATCCGACGAATGCTACCGCAAATGTGAGTACCCACCAAAGCCCCGCTTGTGTGGTGAAATATGAATACATACTGTATTTTGATATGTTAACGTTTACGTTTTTTCATCTTACAAATGACGTACAAATTTATCACTGAAATTTATAATTGCAAACCTACATTTGGTCTGTCATAGGTATGCCAAGGTGACACCATCCGTGTAACAGTTAATAATACTATGGAAGATGAACTCAGCACATCGATCCATTGGCACGGCCAGTACCAATACGGAACCAACTGGATGGATGGTGTTGGTATGGCCACTCAATGCCCCATAAAGAATGGTCCATTATTCGTTTACGAATTTGTGGCATATCCAGCAGGAACCCAACTCTGGTACGATATGTCAGGATTAAGCTAGAGCGACGGCTTGTTCGGCTCATTGATTGTTAGACAACCCATCGAAGAGGAAGCAGAGGTCATCAGCAAAGCGTATGACTACGATCTTGCTGAACACGTGATTGTGATGAGTGACTGGTCAACTATAGATGGACTGGAAACATTCACCACTGCCTATGCACCTGCCAAAGTAGTCAGAGATCATACTATTAATATCTTGATTAACGGAAAGGCACAAGGAGCGGAGTTCATAGACGCATTTGGAAGAAGTGCGTACACTCCACGGGAGACATTCGGAGTTGTAAAGGGAAATCGCTACCGTATGCGGATCATGAATGCAGCAGCGACGTCTTGTAACATCGCCGTTTACGTCGAATCCCATTCTGATTTATACATTATTTTTTGTTGCCAGTGCTAAGCAGCAAAAACTTGATTTGAGTATACTATGTAGGCCTATACAACGTGTTACCCCCAAATGATCTCGTCGTATTATCTTCTTAACAAATTTTGAAGCAAATCTACTGCGATCCTACGTGTTGTATTTTATATATACTATTTTGCTTAAGCTATATATGCCTATATTAAATTGAAACATAACAGAAGAGGAATCTGACGAAGAATGAAAATAGAAGGCTCAGATTGAACGAAATAATTTTAATGAAAATATTCATATATAACTCAGTGTCAGAGCGGTAATCAGACATAGTATATGGGGAGAAGATTCTTATGATATATACGGGCCGAGCCGCGGTAGGCCTACTTTTCATTTTGAAATCGCTACCTTATTTTGATGCAATACCTCATCGATATATAGGCCTACCATTAGTATAAATATAGATAATATTCTGTTAAAATGTAAGTTGGTATAATATTTCGCAATTTACAGCGCTTTATGAAAACTTTTATTTTTAACGTATAGGTCCATACAATATCTAACAGCATAGTTTTGCTATTCATACTAAGCTTTTTCTATCTTGACAAGGCCTTGTGAATTTACCCTCATCTTATTTGAACAAATAATCTATTATAATAATATACGGGTAGAGTGTTATTGTTTAGCTCTAAATCACTATCTCGATTTGCTTCAAGAACAACGTTCCACCATAGAACCTGTACCAGCAAAATTAACCAATATTAACTTACAGACGACGTAAAAGTTTACCCTCCACTGAAAAAATATTAGATGGAATTAGCAACTCACTTGGACAATATGGCAACGGACTTAAAGATCTCGTTTTTACAGGCTGTTTTATATATAGGTAAGGAATTGTTGCAATTCATATACAAGACCTACAGTTAGTTGTATTTTTTCTATCGTTTCTTAAGCCTAAACCTCTTCTTTAACAAAATATGTAGTTTTAATAAGCCATATATAAAAAATACTATTAAAGTAGCATTTTTTAAAATAGTGATACGTCTGACAAAAAATAATGGAGCTGTTGTTATGATACGAATTTGTTATATTTTACTCTTCAAGTTTTAATGTTCTTTACATATTATGCTAAAAAAATAGTAATAAAGAATTTCTCGGTAGGATTGCATCTATTTTGATATAGGCCTGTCAATTTGACGTCTCTTACTACCTTTACTTCTAAAGATTATAATTTCTTTTTTTACATCCAAAGAGAACTGAGTAATGAAGGAGGTATAAGGTTTAACACTGGTTTACTCTTACGTTGGATTTACTTAGTATAAATAGGCCTGTTTAATCCTCTATTTCCAAGTTCTCTGAATGTTGTTCAAAAGCATAAGTTATTTGCTTGGCCATGTCTCAATTATTTTTATGATATAAGAATAGTCTCCTTAAGCTACAAGAGGGGGTCACAAAAGCCATTACATTTCTACTGACATTGAGGTGTATATAGACAGCAAGCAAATAGTTTAATCTAGTTACACAAGTACTAATAAAATCGAAAGCATACTATAATGTATTTTGATCAAAATCGTGGTAGAATTTACTGTATTAACATTCATAGTTTAAAACATTATCAGAAACAGAGTTTTTGGGAAAAAACTCCAATGGAATTAATAAGTACGGTAATTTGAGTGTTTAGGAAATTTTGTGAGGTAAAGAGTGGACCTATCTTCAAAGTAGAGAGAATACGAAAACGAAAAATAAATGAACTCAATATCTTCCTTTTTTTATATCCACTTCTATATCATAGGTTTTCATGTATCATAAATTTTTACAAATATTTTTATGTTCAAATACACTGTCTCATATCCTATTTGATCTTTATTTTTCATGGGCAGAACTATCATTAGACCTCTCTAAGCGCCATAACAATATCAATAACATAATGAAATTACGTTCTTACAAGATAAAACGCAATGTTAATGTTTCTTTTTTACGGGGCGTTTAGTCATCTTTCTAAATAAAATACAGGTACCGGTAATAAATAGCAACTGAAATTTACCGTTGGTAAACAGAAACATTTTACATTCTCAATATTAAAATTTCAGGTTTATTTTCATTGCTTGCTTGTGGTGTAACATCCGACGAATGCTACCGCAAATGTGAGTACCCACCAAAGCCCCGCTTGTGTGAGTACGAGTTAACTTTTCTATGGTACTACTCGATGCCAGCATATTGCTGGAATTGCCCTATGACATATGAGGATTGCAGTATGGAAGGATGTACACCACTGGATGGTACATCTCGACCAATCATCACTACGAATGGTAATTATCCAGGATCTAACATACAGGTAACGTCAACTAAAGATAGCTTTGATGTTTTTTTTTTTTTCTATAGGCATAATCATAAAGTAAATTAACTTAACTTTTTCATGGCTTTTAGACAGTACGTTACCATGGTTGAAAAACCGATTAAAGATTCATGATTATCAATTATTCATTTTAAATTAAAAGTCAGTTAAACATAGCCCTGTAACTATTTTATCTTAAGAGATTCGAAATTTAAAATAGATTCGGAGCGTTAACATATTATTACTTTCATAAAATACTTTCATAATACATGATCTTTAGTTTGGAAATAAGTGTTGAATTATGTTCCAAAAATACGTCAACTTGACTTTTGCTTTATTGTCATCGCCTTCACCACTATATTTATTATGGACCAACGTGCTACAATATATATATATATATATATATATATATATATATATTCAGAGATCATACTATTAATATCTTGATTAACGGAAAGGCACAAGGAGCGGAGTTCATAGACGCATTTGGAAGAAGTGCGTACACTCCACGGGAGACATTCGGAGTTGTAAAGGGAAATCGCTACCGTATGCGGATCATGAATGCAGCAGCGACGTCTTGTAACATCGCCGTTTACGTCGAATCCCATTCGCTGAAAGTTATTGCTGCGGACGGCAGTCTGGTCGATCCAGTAGACGTAGATTACTTGATCATCTCGCCAGGCGAAAGGTTAGTAACTACTTTTTAAATGTAGTTCGCGTTATGATCATTTGATTTTCATATAAACTATTCATTCAACTTATCTTTTCGCCAAATTTAAGCGTGTTTCGTGTGTATGTGTGATTTTTTGTTTTTTTTTTTTTTTTTTTTTTTTTTTTTTTTGCTGGACGTATGAATGAATGCCATCGAACTTAGATGTAGGCTACCGTAGGTAGGCGGTAGGTTAAACTTGTAGCTCAGTTTACAGGCTAGGCCGTGTCAAAATAAAACAGGGTTATATGAATTTTTCACATGGTCTGCAAACAAAACGTCCAATACCGAAACATTTCAGAAAATATCTTGAAAGTAAATTTAATGACGTCATGATTGAGTTACAATAATTACCATTTGACTACATCAATCATTAATTGCGGTAATTGTGCTGCTGCTGTTGTGTTTTATATTGTCGACAGGCCTATTATTTGAGATGTGTATCATACACGTGAATATGTTCCTCGTAAACATTTTGTTCTATTGACAGCTATGACTTCGTGATCTATGCCAATCAAGAAGAGTCCTCGTACTGTATGCACTTTGTTGGGACATCATCAAGCGCGTGTCAGATTTCGTCATCCGCAATTCTACATTACAATGACTACGACAAAAACCTGGCGTGCAGCAATTCTCTTATATTCGACGATGTAGTGTCGTCACACCATAGCAACTATTATACTGCGCCCTCACAAGAAATGCAAACAGTTACTTTGGACATGTTACACTCTTTTGGTAGGTACAACCACTCTTTTTTTTTTCTTTTTTTTTTGGTTATGCTGTGTAGAGATGTATGTATGTATCATTCATTTTCTGGGGAAAAAAATATGAAAACGGCCTTAGTATATTGCAAACCTAGTGTTAAGGTGTTTAAATTACTTTCATAAATATATGGGTTACAATAACTCCGCAAATGACGCTAACACAGGGGCGGATCCATANNNNAAACAGGGTGGGCCGGGTGGGGGAGGGGAAGGGGCGGCTTGAGGCACAACATTTTCAGAATAGATAAGTGAGTAGCACATAACATTGATATTCATTTAAATTTTAAAATTTAGTGGCAAACCCCCCTAATCTGATGGCTCGGTACCGGTATATATTTAATTAATTTATATTCATTCAACTTCATTTAACACAGGCAAATATACAATAAAATAAGATCATGTTGCCATTCTATGCTTAATTTAGATTCAGTAGGCTCAAGCCTTGTAGGTGTCGATGACCTGCGATATATATCACTCAGTACCTTTTACGATGACCGGTTCAAGTCTTTGAACACGTATGGCGGGGTTCAGGTGATTGACAACGTGGCTTATAAAGTTTCACATGCACCATTGCTGAGTCACGAGACGGACGGTATTGAGATATGTGAGGCTAATGGCGACTACAAAATATACGAATCTTGTGAAGACAAGATATGTTCATGTACTAATGTCATGAAATTGGAACTAGGAAAGGTTAGTACATTAATTTATTAATATGAGTGAGTATAGCTTCAAGTATTATAAGGTCCTATCCAGAAAACTTTTGTTCGACTGGAAGGGGAAGTTGCAAAGCACCAATCGACGATTTTTGTATCTTTTGTTGTCTACTGGGGTGCGGGAGGGGGAGGGGGAGACTTATTTTCGCCATTCTCATGTAGGGTCTACCTATGTGAAATGTTAAGGTGTCTGGTAGAATCCACACAAAAGGATTCTATGCTGAAAAAGGGTTGATCTTGCAATCCTTAAAGGTCACAATATACCTATTTATAGTTTTGTTTTTTTTTGTAGGTGGTTGAATTTGTACTTATGAACGTGAAAGGGAGTGTCTATTCCCACCCAATGCATCTACATGGACATTCCTTCCTTGTCATGGGTCAAGGAACGTTCGACGACCAATCGGTCACAGAGGATGAAGTTAAGGCACTTGATACATCAGGTCAGCATATTTGAAACGTTTCATCTAGATCTTAAAGCCAGGCTCCGAAGGAAAATATTTATATGTTATACAACTGATATTTTAAGACACAAAAAGCATATTTGACAATATGATGATATAAAAGAAACTGAGGAAAAATACGGGCGTAACCACCCTTTTTCCATCCCCAGGTTTTTAAAGATTCAATATTCTCTACCTAACCGTTCCTGAGTGTTTCGTCCAACACCCTTTTTATGTCTTGAAAGAATCAGTACATATCAAGAAAATGTTTTCCCCTGAAGCCTGTACTTAGCTAGGTAGGCCTATTAAATTCGAGAAGCTAAAGCGTCACTTAAAAAGACAATTGGCATGAAAATACTGTAACTCTCCATTACGCTTGAACCTAGCTGTCTAGATTTTAGTAATCTTTAACAGTAACATTTGTTTTCACATAGACCTAAAATCATACAACTGGTTGCGATTTAAAGGCGGCTACCAGCATTAGTTACAAACAATCCCATAAACTATCTTCTTATGAATATGATTTTAAGTAGACTTATAAGAAAACATATTGTGATTGTTATTGCCATCTAACACCTAATTTTTATAAATTTGCGTATTAGGCATATTAATGAATAAATTATCATCATCATAATCATAATCACCATTATCATCATCATCATCGTCATCTTCATCATCAAGGGGGTTACCAACTGTATTAGACACCCTAGCTATAATGTAGAGATCACTCTGCTACATCACTACTCTGTTATTTTGAAGGAGTTATTTTAACTTTTTTTTAGGTACAGAATAACTCTTTTGGAGTTAAAATAACTCCTTCAAAATAACAGTGATATTCATTCATTTATTGTAGGTCTACTGCAGAGACTTCCTGTAGACCAAGTTGTCATAAAAAACACAGTTGATGTACCAGTAAACGGTTACGCAATCATCCGATGGAAGGCAGATAATCCAGGATTATGGTACTTTCACAGCGAAGTCGTCAACCACCATACAGTAAGTCCAACACCACAGGAACAAAACCAAATAACTACCAACAAAATAGGATTGTTCATGAAAAGGGAGGGCAGCATAGCACACGGGGAAAATTATTGTGTGGCATGAGCAGTGGAGATCGTTGCAGATTTTGGTCCCTAGTTCAATTCCACCTTTGCATTACAGATGTAGGGATGACATGGCATGCTAAACTAATTTGATAATAGACCTACCATTTTAGCTTTTATAAACTTTCATTATATTTGTCTATTTCACTTTTAGCATTGTGTTGCTTCAGGGGTTTTTTTTAATCATTCTTGAAATACAAAAAAAAAAAAAAAAAAAAAAAAAAAAAAAATGCATAAAAAAGAAACTTTATCATTCACTATTAACCAAATGAGTTTTGTGGTGTCATTTTTACATTGACTGCTATTGTTATTTTTTGTTCTTTTTATTTCGGCTGTCATATTCACGTTCTGTTGCATTCATTGATGAATTAAATGTATTATTCTATTTTATCCGTAGGCTGGAATGGGTGTGGTTATACAAGTAGGCGATGACGACGAAATTACGAAACCACCAAAAGACTTTCCGAAGTGTGGTCCTTGGTCACCTTAGTTTCTCATACTTCTACACGATTTTCACAGCGGCAGTGTGGATATGAAATATATAATGTAATTTGGAAAGTGACCATTGAATCTGTTTCATCAAATGTAATAATACGTACAAGAAAAACATCTTTCATGAGTGCAGAGATGTGTATAAGAGACAGCCATAGCAACTATTATACTGCGCCCTCACAAGAAATGCAAACAGTTACTTTGGACATGTTACACTCTTTTGGTAGGTACAACCACTCTTTTTTTTCTTTTTTTTGGTTATGCTGTGTAGAGATGTATGTATGTATCATTCATTTTCTGGGGAAAAAATATGAAAACGGCCTTAGTATATTGCAAACCTAGTGTT